TTATGTTACAGGAATGAGTGTTATAAATACACAAATATATTGAAATATTAATATCAGTAAGATATGTCTTTTAAATTTTGTTGACATATTAGGTTATTAACCCTTTGCACAAGTTTTTTCTCTAGATTCATTAATCTTTATTCTCATGAAATATTGATGAAATTATTGTATCTATTAAGAAACATAATTCAGTGAATAAAGACAACTATTTTATTTTAATATTTCATGTCTAATTACATTATGAAATATATTGCATGTTATAATTATGTGTTATATAAAATATGATATTGAATATTTAATTTCGTAATTCTCTTATGTCGGCTATGAGTAGCCTCTGGAGTGCAAAGGGTTACCGAGTAGGTATGCAATTCTATTAAGACGCGTTTACTTAATGTAAATGCATATGTGTCAACTGCTGATCATTAAATGTTACTTTATTTCAGTTTCTTTCTAAGTTAAACGTCTGTAGTGCTAATAGACGTATGCTGTTCTTCTGCTTTTTGATCTTCTTCTTTCCAGTCTTTCAAGGACATTTATTATGCAGTTTGTCTTTAAATTTATTTTTGAATAATGGGTGTAATTAATTGTTATCAGATAATTATGGGAATAATTTACCAAATTCAGTTTAGATTTTGCTTAATGCGAACGTCTTTGGCATTTTAACCCTAGGTTCAAGGACATTTATTATGCAGTTTATCAATTGTTCCTAAAACAATTGATGTTCGCTTATTTAAATAATATTAATATTATTAATGTTTACAAAATTCGAGGTACGTCAAATTGACGCGTTCCGTTAACCCAGTGTTAAAAAGTTCGTCGTGAAACAAGGAATTTACTCGATGACGGAAAGTGAACAGATAGCGTATGGGAAATAAGATGATTCAGCTAAGCTCGACACCATATCATCTCTTCTAGCTCGTTTGCTTTACGTCCACGGTGCTCGGCGCAATAGTCGAATACAAAAACGCTATCTATTAACGCTTCGTTACACCTTACTGACGTTATTAATCCGAAAGGTCTCGGTTTTCGTTCGGCCATTAATCGATAACTCATCGAGTCCTGTTCAAACTTAGATACAGATCTTATCTCACTCCAAAAGCGCTTACACAGATTTCGGTGCGACGTTTCCGTCGATCTACAGTTTTCCGCTTTAAAAAAAGAATTTTACACCAGTTCCGAAGCTTCAGCGCCGGAAATAATTACATTCAAATTAAGAAATACTCTTTATTCGTGGACGTGGCGTAACACTTTCACACGCCAAACCTTGTGTGAAATAGATGTGATGAAAGAAGGCTCCTTTTCTCGTTCGAAAGTGGACTGTATTTGTTTAATATCGAGTGAAAGGAATGTGTATGTGTACAAAGTTGAAGTGTGTGTTGTCCAGTGAGTACAGCGTGATTAATGAACTTGTATGTCTGTCTGTCTCGTCTCTCAATGTCTCTCTATATATAAAAATACTGAGATAGGTGTCCTTAGTGACAAATCAGAAGGCTGAAAATGAGGTGTTGCTAATTACCGTTTTTTAACTGTTTTTTAACCTGCTGTTTTTTTACATGCATCTTAACCGAATAAACATTCCGGAACATTCTTAATAACAAATTCGGTACAGGGTGAATCCGCGTGCGAGAACAATCGAGGAATAAATTGAAATTTTTTTATCAATTTCATGTTCCCAGGTAATCAATCCCGAAAGTTCGCTTGGAATGCATGCATTCGTGATTATAGGAAGTAGAAATTGTCGGTCACGAACGGACACGCTACGCTGTCGATCCCTATTCAACGGCACGCGTAACCGACAAGTTTTCAAATTCTATTATCTCGGAAGGGATGGATCGTACGAAGCAGTTTTACACACCCCGCGGTGTAACTTCTCAATTATTTCATTCGCCATTACAGTTGGTAGTATTTAGTGCCGTGGCGTTTGGCAGTATGATATGAAGATATAATGTAGATACCGTCCATATTACTGGACACAGATAAAGAAAAGAATATGTAAAAATCTCTATGATATGGAAATCTGCGATGCCCTTAAAAGTTCCGTGGGTTGTCGTGGAAGACTTTCCGCAGTACTTGCTTTCAAGAGCGTGAAACGTCTCGGAACTTTATTTCTCGGTATTGACAAGCGTGAAAATTTACGGACAGGCGACGTGTGAACTTCTAAACTTGTACGACCGTATAGAACTTCGCAGTAAACGAAGAATCGAAGTCTGAACTAAATTTCACTCGTCATTGACTGCAACAATGGAAGAACATCTGTCAGAAATTCATTGAATTATTCTATACATAAAGTTGTATACATAAATTCTTATTATTGTTAACAATCCTCATTGTATAATTGATATAGGAAACCGAAAATAATCTATTGCTATAATATTTATAGAGATTACATATCAATCGTATTAAATACTAAAATTATTTCAAATTTCCAACAATATTATACCATAAATTATATGTTCCTTTGACAAAATCATATTGATATTTTCAAAACAAATTAACGTGAAAATTCTGTTCGGCGTTTTCCACCTGATAAATACAATACATCTTCATAAACCACTCTTCGTTTAACATCTACAAATCATTTTATTACGTTACGTACGCCGTCGTCCTGAAACGGAGTAAAATAATATCGTTACCGATACGATCAGTGTTGACAGTACAGAAATAAACGCGATTTCGATGAAAACGGTTGACCAAATCAGCCTCAAATGATGTAGTGTACGAACAAAAAAATCCCACGCGAGAGAAGCTGCAGCATACACGTGAGCGTTCGCGGTTTTGGAAACGGAAGTTCCATCCGAGATCAAAATCAGATGATTTATAGCGTTCTGGTGTCACGCGGATATGAGCTCAGGCTTTATTTATCGCTAAAGTTGCAGACACGCGTAACAAATCTGAATTTCCGCATGTCCGTTGCGACTTGCTTGAAAATAATTGTTTCGAAACTTCGGTCGTTAAAGAGAGATGCATTCGGCAGAAAAATTAAAATTAGATTGAAATCTTGGGAAGGATAATAGGAGTCTAGGGAATGAAATAAAAATTTAAATTCGGGATGAAAGTGAAGAATCTATAATATGAATAAATCGTGTATCAATTAAATGCGATTAAACGCAAACGAAAGTGGAAATAATGCGTTGAAAATTGAATCAACGGATAACGTGTCTGAAAATCAACGAGGCACTGAAATTCTCATTACGTACGGGAAATGCTTCTTCGTTTAAATGACATTACATGATATGGAAAGTTTGCAATTTACGAGGTGTTAGTACATGAAATTTTTCATGTATGCTACATTAGCATTCGAATGGGTTAACTCCATTTTCTGAGGTTTTCCATATTTTATCGTCGAAACTTGATTGACGTATTTAACTTATTATATTTAAAATAAATTTCTTTATTATTTGAGTTTAGCACCACTGAATAACGAGAATTTTTTTAGCCACGAAAAAATTGCAATGATAATAAGTTACTTCAAGGATATACTATTTGATATATTTTATATGTTTGATTAAATTACACCTGTAATAATAAAGTAAAATACATTCTTAATGTTTACTTGGTTTTCTATTTAAAAGGAAATTTAAAAAATACATACTATTGTATATGTACTATTACATCACATTCGTCTACTTTTTATTTTATAGAATTAACCTGGAGCAATGATTGGCTCATAGATTAATGCAGAACGATTTAATGACTTATTATAATAAATTTTTAAATATATTTGTTTGAAGTCTTATTGTTTTGCTCATATCAGTTAAACAGCGAGGATAAGGAACTTAAAATTTGTAAAAAGTTATTGTATAATTATCGAAAATTTGCCGATAAACTTATTTGCTGCTGATACTTTTCGTAGTATAAAGGAACTTCGTTTTTAATATAGGCGATAAAGGAAATGTCCAAGAGGTAAATGTATGAAGAGAATATCATGGAAGAAGCCCACGTTATAGTCAGCTATACAAGCTGTTTATGAGTATTGTTTTGACACGCTGTTATACAGGAACACCTGCACCCACTTTGCATATTCTCTATTTAATGGAACAGTAAAACATGAAACTTAAGTAATCGTTTGTCGTTAAACGTTTTAAATCCCTTAAATACATAAATTTTTATATATTCTGAATATATTAATAAAATTCGCTTTTTATTTCGTTTTAGCTGTATCCGATTGTTGACTTTCATAAAAGATATTTTACTGTAGTTGCTGCGAAACGTTTGAGTTGAATTTTTACATAGATTATTTGTATCACTTTAATACTCTAAAATGGTTTTTGTGCCATAATTATTTTCTCCAATTTCAAATCACTGTTCCATACAAAAAGGAAAATTTAAATATTACAAAATAAAAATATAATTACAATACAGAGTTTCATGTATCCATACCATAAAAAAAGGTTTCGATAAGTATAAACGTAAGAGTGAATTAAATTCAATAAATTTTGATCTTAATTCCCATCTTTTGGCAATGTCGATGAAGACAAATTTAATTTAAACTTAAATTTCTTTATATTTCTCTATAAACTCCTTCAGAAAGTTTAAATATTGTTTGACACCGTTACGTTTTTCACCAATATATTGGTAACATCCCTAACAAAAGAAAACAATGGAAGTGTAAAGAACACTCCACTCAAAAAATCGAATTTAATTCATACATCGAAAGGTTTCACACGTAATTCCTCACAAAAGAAACTAACAGCTCGATATATATGTATTCTTGGTCACACGTGCAACGCAATTTCATAAGACGATAAATATTCATCGCAAGAGATGAAAGGAAATTCGATTGTCAGTGAACGAGGGTATTGCGAGGGAAACATTTGCATAGAGCATTTTGCATATAACGCAAACCGCTGTAAATATAACTCGGTTTGCGTTCGTGTATTAGCTGGAAATATAGGGTGTCCAGTAACTCAGAATTCAACCAGAAAAGGATTCGTTGAACATTTTAAATGTTTCCAATTATCGTGTACGTTGATATTAATGAAAAAGCGATTGTGTTTCAGGTTCAGCGATCGAGAAATTATGCGAATGCATGATGGACGACAGCCTGGCCGACCGAAGCGCGGTCATCAGGGCTGCCAGGTGTCTTTTGGGCTCTGTGACGAGAGTTCTCCTGGTGGCCGACGTCGTTGTGGTCAATCAACTTCTCAGTGCAAAGGACAAGGTGGCCACTATCCTTGACCGGTTGGAGTATGTCTCGAACTTCACCGAGTTCGTGAAAGCTTTTAGCCAGTTTGGGACAGAGATGGTGGAGCTGGCACATTTGACGGGGGATCGCCAAGTAGGTTTTCAAATAATTAATTCATTTTACTGCTATAAACGTTAGAATGCGAATTGTTCTTAATGTGATAATTTTTCGATCGTGATTCATCTAAATTCCATAACTGTAGACGTGTAGGTTAATATTGATGTAAACTTCATGGATGTGCATATGTATGGGTGTAGCGTGCGTATGCGTTGTTTTGGATAAACGCGGAAAAAAGAGATATTGAAAAAAACGAAGTTTGTGTTGACAACGGAAAAATATATAGAAATTGACATCGTTTTAAATAAACGTCTATATAACGAAACTTTTATTTGAAACATATATGGTTTGCTATGTTTAAAACTGATACTATCAAATGAATATAATGCAATGAGTTACGTAAGAAATAGAGCAGATATAATCAGTATTTATCACGTCAGACGTTTTTCAAGCTTCTAGAATCTCGTAAGATCTAAAGTTCGTTTTATAGAATACCTTACCATAGAAATTGATTCCCTTTGAACTGTTATCTTTATGACAGCAGTAAAACAGATATTTAATTAAAGATCCAGTACTTATTACGGTGATTATTCTTTCAAACTTCTCGAATCCCCTAGGATTTAATTAGGTTTATTTCATGGAATATTTTGCTATAAAGATTGTACGATCTCGAACTCGAAACTACAGTTCCCAAATATGATGGTCGTAACGACTGTTAGGTCAGAGTGTATTTATTCAGAATAGACAGAAGATTTAAATTGGAAATTCTACGCGGCTCCTAGATACACTCGCTTTGTTCATGCATGCAGGAGGTCTCCGGCTTTCTTTGACGAACTGTAGACGCTCACGCTGAATACGGGAAAGAAAAATGCACGTCATATGCAAATCAGCGTTGAAACTTTATAATGTTATCGCTCATGTTCAACAATATGTAAATCCTCGATTTCAAGTGTTAAAAGATTAACCGTGTTTTCATAAATAAAAGTTATTTGAATTTAAATCGAAGAATAGTAAACAATCCCACTGATGAAATTAGTAGCAATGTCACTCGAGGTAATGTTGTTAATACAATAAAGATAAATAATGTCTTTTTGGCCCATATAATATTTACCAATCAAAAGTTGCTGATTTTTTGCAGTAAAAGTATTATTTATAGTAAAGGATTAAATAAAATACTTAGACTATGGATTTTCACCCATTTTTAGGAAATTTGAAAGCGCATAGATGCACTGAATGCACACGATGCAAAGGAATATATAAAATATTCAAAGCTTACTGACTTTTATAATACTTTTCAGCAAAATCATTTTCTACCGTAATTCTATGGGGTTGACGCAAACATTTTGACGTTTCTGTACTTAGTTAACAAACGATTTTTATTGGAAACAATAAACATAAACATAAACACACTTTGTGTGTAAGTAGAGTAAGTCAAACCAATACATTGCAATTTTTTTATCATGCCGAATTTCACTTTAGAGGGACGAAATCATCCATGGGAGAAATGAAAATTTGTTTCCCGTGAATTATCTCAAATAAAATAAAATTTTCGAATCATTTTCAAAGTCAAAATTTTAGAAGGTTTTAATTAGTTTCGGCCAGCGAAATTTTTGAATTTCTTATAAAGAAACGTCAAAGCGTTTGCATAAACTCAATATTCCTCTAGCTATTTAAACAATTGTTATTTGCATGAGAGTTAATAGTTTGGTAACAGTATAAATAATTGGAGACAATGCATTCGAATTTCAGAACGACTTGAAAGACGAACGACGAAGGGCACAGATGGCCGCATCCCGGCAAGTTTTGGAAAGGAGTACCATGATGCTGTTGACGTCGAGCAAAACATACTTGAGGCATCCGGAGTGTCCGTCGGCGAGGGAAAACAGGGACACGGTGTTCTGCCAGATGAGGAGGGCCATGGATATGATACACTTCATTGTGAAAGACGGTGTGTCGTACCGCTGCATGCCGAAGTATCAGCGAAAGGTTGGCAATCAAGTAAATCATTTGTTCCATTCATTCTCACTGAATCAGTCGTTCGTTGACCAAATCGGTTTACTCCACATTTAACGTGTTTTTTGAAAATTATATCGTCAAATTCACTCAACATTTTACATTTAGAATAAATTTCCTGATTATTGGGTTTATTACCATGAAATAATTTTTTTAACCATGCAAATAGGGCCATTCTGAGTGAACTATCTCTATGACTCTTTAAGATCGTAATTTAAATTTCCTTAGACATTGTCAAATACCTGTATTTTCAATTGTTTTCAGTGGTATATTGAATCTTTTACAGAACCGTATATAACTGTAAAACTATCGAGTAGTCAAATTGAGTTTTCGAAATTTCTCTGTAGAAACTGTATAAGTACATCAATCGGGATTTAAATTGATTTACAATTCTGTTCGCATATTGCTAAACCGATTTCTTGAATGATTTCTATCCATTATCTTTTTAATAATTGCACAAAAAATAAATGAGGATTGTGTCATTTCGACCAGTCTGGTAGTTTTACTGTCAACTGTTCTTATATATATTTATTTTTATAAATACGTTTTATTTTATTTTTTAAACGTCCGTTTAAAAAAGTGGACCATCTCTCCCCAATTTACACTACCTATAAATTCAAAATTTGAGAAATCTATTAGAAGTGTGGAACACTGCGTCCTTGACGCAAGTTACCAGAGAGGTGATTCAAATGTTTCCTCGCGCTGCGTTTCCGCGGATTGTTGGCGCCATCGAACGTTGTTTATTGTCTTCGTGCATTAGCGACAAACAGGAACCGAGTCGTACAAGAAAAATGTAGCATCCGCGGTGAAATATATAAGGAAACTTGAAACCAATCCAAAGTGCTTTCGTTGGTTAAATTCTGATTTATAGATAATCCGCAACACACGATTTTAGCGACCTTGCTCCGCATCCATTTCATCGTGAAAACTAACACACGTAAGGCTAAGACGTGAACTTGTTAGTGACTTCTTCGTTTGATATCAAAGAAATATATCCGAATGCTAAGAAATTAGCTTGAATTCATTAAACATGATTTCATATTATTCTTTTTATTGTTACGAGAACGATAAACGGTAGAAGCAATTAAACGGAATCAATTACGAAGGTGATCATTTCGAACTCGAACGAGTTTCGAAACGTTCGTTTAAGTGATTGCATAAAATTTGATCGTTAATTACTTTTGCAGTCGGTGCAAAATCGATTTGTTCTTCGGTCTTTTAATATAAAATGTTAAGAGATGCATTTCATAATTGCGAGGAACCAAATATTTGAATTATAAATAGCACCGTTCAAATAATTCTTGAAGTATACAGTGCCATTATATTTTATGTATTAAGCAAATAAAGCGGTAAATGTTGATAAATGCATATGAATACAAATTTCTTTGCTATAAAGGTAGTACAACAATATTTACGATACTATAAAAAATATGAACTTTTCAGTTTAAGTGTAGTTTCCTCGAATAGAGGAAACAGAAGATTTTTTCGTGGTTATTTGAGATGTATTGTTTAAATAACATTTAAATGAGAATTTTTCATGATATATAATCAGTGGAATAACTTCGTATATAATCAGACGCCTGACACATGATTTCTATTTAAACTATTATTTCTCTCACTATTCTAGTTTCACTTATTTTAGTTTGTGTTATTTGTTGAAAATATAGACAATACTGTAATAAACAAAATCATTCGCTTAAATCAAAATCTTGAAATCAGTAGAATTTTCATGAATAAAATTCGTTAGTCTTGCAATTTTCCTAACTCATTCATTTTATACTTTGTCATTTCATAAGAAGTTCAAGCTTTCTGCCAACTAAAATAAAATCGTAACATCTGTATTCTGAAACAAGTGAAGACAGTTCACACACAATTATATACATTATAATACATTCTTTACATTCGCATTAAATTTACTTCAAGTTCACTGTCAGACAGTATATACAAAAGATCTAAAAAGCATTTGCTCCAAGGAATTTGCAATTTTCAATAAAAATACACTACATCACAGCAGACTATAACGTCGTTCCAGCGTGCTCCAGTTTCGGAAGTAACGCGAGCGAAGGAAAAAACGCGGAGCATCTCCGATGCATTCGTTCGCACTCGACGATGCCCGATGCGCCCCCTTCGGAATAGCGACACGCCGTCGTCGTCCTAAAATATGCTTCCGGGGGAACATCTCGAAAATGCAAGATACATCTTCCGCGTGCAATGGCTGCGATGTATCGACAGCGATGCAAATTGATATCGTACCGCGAACAAAGCCGACACATAGCGAACGACGCCGGGATGGATGTCGTCGACGTTAGCCGGGCATTCTTCGGCACGTGCCAAATTGCGGCGTCGAGATTCCGGCGCATTAATGCACGGGCATTATTTAAATTTCTTGCCAGCCGAGGACCGGGAGGCCGGCCAAATCTCGTTCAAGAACAATGGGCCAGATACCGAGAATTTATTTAGTTTAAATGGCACTAAAACGCTAACCTTCTAGACAGGTTACCGAGCCGCCTGTGAATTAAGTGTGACAAATATATCACCGGATGGCCGGTTATTGTTATAAACGGGTTGAACCTGTCGGCGAGGGACAACAATGTGATTAATTGATTCCTACCGTGACTCGTTTCACGATACACCTCTTATCTTGACGAATTTACTTCCTCGGGGAGGCTCCCGGTTCTTGTAGCTCGAAGGACTTTGAAACTGAGGTCCTCGCCCAGTTCACGGCGCGACCCAGATTTTTTTCAACCGAAGAGGCAATTTTAATCGAATTTTGATTTAGTTCTCTGCTAGTGTGCTGAACAGATGGATTATTTGGGTGTCTTTAAATAAATTCTTCAGTAAATTGTTTTCTCTTTTGTAAGCAGTACTTCTCTCGTTCAATGTATTCAGAATGGTATTAAAAATTATTGTATAAATTTTTTTGTTGCTTTTATAAACTAGGAATAGACGAATTAAAGTAGATTGAAAATAAAATGTATGGCGGTTAAGAATTAATTCAGTAGAATATTTGAATTGAATTAAATGATATATGAGTGTATTAAGTGATTGAGGGGGTCAAATCATGAGGAAAAAAAATCAAAAAATCTAACTGTGAATGGTACTGAATTTAAATATTAACCTAATCTACCGTCTTCAATACTGGAACTCAAATTTTAAAATAAACATATGCAAGAAAACAATTTTTCTTAATCCTTATAAAAAAGTAAGTTAAAATTCTTGTCACTTGTTCCAAGTAAAGTTATTCACAAATCTAAAGTGTCAGTTTGAGAAGTTTCCGTTGAGGTTAATCAAGTCAAAACATTGATTACAAATATTCACCTATATTTCACCTAGAAAATTATAGCAAATAATTATCACAAATAAAAGGTATAGAAGTTCAGTATTACTGTGTTTGCATATATCATGAAACAGAACAAAAAAGGAAACGAATAATTCAAAGAAAAGAAATAATGAATTTAAAAGAAATTTTAACTTGAAGAATCTATACTACATATTTGCAGAGCTTTGAAAAAGAGTGTAACCAAAAGTGCTTGACCACATCGAAGAATCTGCCGTGAATGTGTGTACCAGAAAATATATGCACTATCACGGTGTCACTTGGATATTTTATAGTCGAACGCTCAGCAGTTGTTGGTTCAGTGCAGTTGGTTGAACTGCAACTGCATACGCCGACCTTAGGATGGAATATATTTAGACGCAGCGGTGTCATTAAAGTTCCGTGTATTGATCCTAGATCGTGTTTACTATGTAAACATAATAACATTTTATAAGATGTTCGGCGCAGTATTACCCTGGCACCGCAAGCCTCCGGGAAGAGAATACGTTCGCTTGCAATTATATAAATTCATTAGAAAATTGGTATCGATAAAAAATACATATTGACTAAAAAAGGAGTTCTGTAAAACTAACAATGTAAAAATAAGTAATCTTTCTTTTCATCTTTACTTTTTTCTTTTTGTAAATTATAAATATTTTCAATTAAAATGGATCGAAGTTTCTATTTTTCTGTTATAAACAGTTCCAAGTTTGAAATGCTCATATTTGAAACATATTATGAAAATTAAATATTTGTAGAATGTTACATATTCTTAAATAAAATTCTTAAGCGTTTATAATAATGTGATTACAAAATTTTATATAGTGACCCGATATAAGTATCTTTTGTTGTAGCTTCTGGATTGCGGGACACCTTGTATATAAGAATCTTTATAAACCAGATAAGAGGCTATAATGAACATATTATGAAGAACCCTTATTTTTATCAAAGTGAATCTCATAATTCAATGAAATATTGAGTTATTTGTAACTATATCACCATAGTATTTATAATTGCATTTAATGCTTATACGAGGGTGTTCCGTCGCGAAACAGTCATCCGTATTATTACCGCTGAATTTCCTGTTGAGAATTATAATGCCATTATCGTTGAGCGAAATTCGGAAGCTTGACGTCGTCAAGTTGTATCCTAACTGGATACTTAATTCTGAGAAGCGATGTATTATAACCAATCGTATGAAATGCTCGTTTAAACGGTTGTTTATGGGACTTTGAAAATGTATATATCGTTTCCCAATATTATTCAAATAATTGAGAAATTTCAAGTCGCAAACACTCAAAACGTTTTCAACCAGTTCGTATAATACGTCACTTGTTTTTCCACGTGGAAAAGTAGTTCAAAATTAATTTAATGGGCAGTAATTATATAAAAACGTGCCACTTAACATGTTATTATTAGACTATTATATTCTCACGCATTCATCAGTAATCGAAGTCTGCTCCTATTAATAAACTATAAAAGTTCATTGATTTAATAGAGCTTTAATGAATTTTCTTGCTGATAATAGCGTGTAGAAAATAAAATTTTAATCAACTTTAATTCCACTAAATTTATTACTTATGTGACAAATTATTACTTATACTCTCGAAACGAATCACTGTGTCACACGTATATTGCCGGTCAAAAGTTTGAAACCACTTGATATATACCGTCATAAATGAAAAATTATGTCTTATAAATATATAAAATAAAATAACGAAAATTATATATCTTTATATTTAACTAATACACATATGTCCATGTTCCTTAAATATACACAATAATTCTCCATTAAAAGTTGTTTACAAAAATGAAAGTTTTTCTTTGAACCGTTCGATTGGTCCCAAACTTTTGACACGTTATCTTAAAGCTTGAAATGATGCTACTTTCTTCAACGATGAATTCCTTATTTTCTCAGATAAACATCTAATTCTTCTTTATTTGATTCAGTTGTTTATTAACACTAATATTACCGAACAGTTAAATTGACTTCTCCCAATTTTTCAGTAACAACTCTAAAAGTGCAGCTGTTGAGCCTTTAACTGACTTATGATTCAGTTTGCATAAATTAGAAGAATTTAGGAGTGGTTTAATTTCACTCGTTCGATAATTCCAGTGTTAAAATATACCCCAGGTGCATTCGTCCTGTGTTCGACAAGTGTACACTTCATCGTTCGACTGTACGGCACGCAAAACGAGAGATTCTTCAATTTGAATTCCACAGTTGACAGGTTAAGCGCATAACGTATCCGAAAGTAGAATCTTATATGATTTCAGAATCCCGCGGAGCTGGATTTCGAACGCAGAACAGCCCTGTTCGCGTTGAAACACTTCGAGAGGCTCGTCGAAACATCGAGGATGACACTCCTAGGACCCGACTGCCGAGAAACACTCACGGCCGCGTTGGATACTGCCATTGAGAGGACGCACGATTTCACTGACAGCGCGTACACCAGTCACAAGCACAGAGAGAACATCCTTCTGCTCTACGATCGAGTGAAGTTGGAACTGAATTCGTTGCTGCGGATCGGCAACAGTATGGTAAGTGCTTTCGCTTTTGTTTAACATTCTAATTGACGAACCAATATCCGTGTAAAACTGTTCTTCAATTAGCTTTAAGTATTACAATAACGATCAACTGCTTCTGATAACTGAAAAGCGTTGAAAAATGAGAGACAAGATAGCTTAAACCGTTGTTTTATATTCTCTAAATATCGATCGATATTCTGAAATTATCAGACTTCGGTTGTAACGGGTAATTGACTTCTAAAGATCGTTGAATATCTTATATAATAATTTCACATTTGCGAGAAATGGAAAGAATAAATCGATGTTTCTTATTTAGTTTTTCATATACGAACATCGATCTTTCCAGTGTTTGGAAAACCACGTTTTCTCGAACGGTTTGCGCAAAGACCTGTTGAACATAAATGTGTTTCTTCTGTTAATAATTTTAATGTATTGCGTTACGATGATATACAAATTTTATTTAAATTTCGTCAGTGGTTTTATTTGAAATATTTATATACAATAAAACCCTTTGTGTATTTCGTTTAAAATGCTACGATTTCATTCATTTCTCTAAAATCCATTGATTATGATGTATAATAATAGTACTTGAAAGTTCGAATGAAAATTGGTTGTTAATGCACAGTTACAGTATTCAACAATTCCATCCATATTTTTCGCAGTAAAAAATAAAATATTATTTAGAATAATATCTGCAATAAATAAAATACACGATCGAAATTTCGATGATCACAGTTGTTAACTTTAGAACTAAGTATTTAATACGATCAACGTATAATCCTTATAAAAATTAAAACAGTAGATTTCCCGAATTCTTCCAATATTCACTACAGCATTCGGATGAAACTTATTAGTCACTTAAAATATTTAGTGCTCCCAAGATATCAATAACTTTGAAATAAAAGAAACTGAAATCAGTCATTTCGATTGGTACACTGGTTCCAGTGTTCACAAAGAGATCGACTGATATTTAATCATCGAGAAACCGCACGCGCGAACAGAACAATTTGCACGGATAAAGTGAGGATTCGACGCGAAAAATTCCATATAATACCGGATTATTCGCGTCAGAGTAATCCGAGTTGGCTTGGTCCACTTTGAATAGGGCTGACCTCCCGTCATAAATCCGAATGAATGAGCAGGCTAAACTGAATCAGTTAGAGGAGCCTGCTACCAGTGAATAGACAGTGGCGGACACGTCCCCCCGTGAAAAAGGAGGCAAAAAGGCCGCCACCCCTTTGATGGCGGAATGTTGGGAACATTCGCTAAAATCTCCATTGGAGATTGGGACACACAATCTTCTTCTATTGACAGTGCAGTCGCGATTGTTTGTTTTAAACCTCGAATAACTGACATTTTGTCGGTGACATGGGGTCAATTTGAACGTACAATACCTCTTCTTCTTCTGATCGAATCTTTCTCTTTGTCGCTTCATTATTCCCTGTGCTTGTGTGCACTGTCAACGTATCCGTTTCACTTTGCTGATAAGATTATGAATGATTACGGATATAGTGGACCGAAGTAAATCTGATCGTAGGATGAATCGAATCGAAATGAGAATCCAATCCACGTGTACTGTGTCGCTAATTATGTTCCTCATCTATTGTTTCTGTTTTGCGACAGAAAGATTTGGAACCTTTGAGTTTTTATTATTGATTTTCAAGCGTTTTTATTTTTTTATTGTCAAGCGTAAAATGATCCGATTTGCCTCGGTCTGATACACTTTGAAACTACTTTTACGGAGTGAAATAGTAGAAATTTGCTTTCTTTTTATTAATTCTTGAATTGCAGGATCTGCATCTATTGTAATGTTTACAATATAATGCTAACTATTAGGAGTTCCTAATAATTTCCATCACATATTTATAATATATTTATTTATAAAATATTATTATCTCGCAGCAAAACTATGAAGACGGCAGTGGTTCTCCAAGCGCGGAAATGGAGCTAGCTGTACAGGCAGTGTTCAATGCGACCAAAGATCTTCGCGAGCAGCTCTGCGCGACGGCGATGGAGCAGATGGCTGATCTAGGCCAGGTGACCAAAGCGGGTCTGGAGCTTGTCTCCACGATCAAGAATCTTGCTTTGGCCAATGCCATCAATAGATTCGAAGAGCAGAAATTTGAGGAGTACCTCGACCACATTGTCGAAGTAAGTACGTTGCTTCTACACTGTCGAACAATTTTCCCTTCAACATTACATTCTACTGAGTCGAAGAGAAATATCGTAGTTTCACAATTTAAACTGTTATATTATATTTAAACTGTTTCTGTTAGAACAGCAGAATATATCATGATCATGAAACTTTTCTTGCATCAGATTCTACCATAAATAAGTTGTATTTAATATTTTTTATTCGATAACAACGTACACAGTTGCATTCAAACAATAGTGTAATCTGAATTGTTTATGGTAATTTACCTTTTCGATGAGTTCGTTTTTAATAATAGAATTCTTCAAGAATATGTCTGTGTTGGTGACAAAATTGATTTACGTTGGAATATAATTATTTAGACTAGTAGAAATGGAACTGAATGTAATCCGTGGCTAATTAATTTATCCATTAACAGGTGTGCAAAATAATCAGACACGTTGCGCCGACGGAAACGCTCTCAGTTTCAGCGAAGTTCACGGCAATTAATTTAAAAATGTACGGTCCCCAAGTTCTAACAGCGGCGCGCACTTTGGCAAGGCATCCGACTAGCAAAATCGCCAAAGAGAATTTGGAAGGTGATTCAACTCACATCTGACTATGTTTCAACGAGTTCTTTTATGTTGAACGAAATTTAGTTTATAAGATTATAATATTTTCGTTTTAATTTTTGCAATTTTCTGAAGAAGTTCGCTGTAAACGTGATCCAAACGCATTAAAATATTCATTTTTTATAACATTTTTTAAATATTTAGTTTCATTATATTTTAATATTATTTTTTTATTGTAACTGCAGATATAACTAATGAAACTTTTATAATTATGCAAAGGGAATTTGATCTATTATAATGCTCCACTGTATCTCCCAAAAGTTCGTAATTAGTTTTAATGAGTAAATAAATACAAAATAGAAGCTGGTATAAAATATTTATTTGCGTTTCTTATTCCCATATTTTTGTCTTATTCGTTAGATCGCCTTAACTTATGATAGCTATGGTTAAGCAGATTGAGGTGCATGTTACATTATATTGTTTGTTTCAGTATTCGCCGATATGTGGCAATGGCTCATGAACGACGTGACTTCAGTAGCAAAAGATGTGCTCGAATTACATCAGAATCGATCAGAAAAGCAAGTCTACATGTCCTTGCCACGACCAGGCGTAAGTACAGTTGTATGTTTGTTTAAAATACAACGATCTTGGAGATACCAAGGAATTCGTTATCAATTTTAAAGAATGACTCACATACTAGTCACTGTTTATAACAACCCTTAGCATTTCTCTTAAGTAATTTAACAAAAACACATAAATACTCACCACAACTTACCACGTATCTCTTTATAGTTTCTTAATTCTATAAAATTATCTTTAAAATGTTCAATCTTTCACCGTTGCCAATCGTAGCACTGAAAGAGTATATATCTTCCTGTTAAAAATTCTATCTCGTTTATTAACATTTTATACATTTTACATAATAACGAATTAAATACGTTCTATGATTACTTAATTTTCCACTTAAAGGGAAACTTTGAAAATCACTATGTACTTATTACATCACTTCTCTTCACTTTTTCTTTTATGCAGTTAATCGATTCGGCAAGCGAGCCGATTGAGCACAATTCAGTTGTCCGAAAAATTCGGTGCGCAATGTGTTGACGAGAACTGAAAATTTCCAGAAACACGGCACGACAAGCAAGCCGCTGAAGCCGGCGAGGCTGGATAGCGAGGAGCAAGCGAAGATCGCGAAGGCGGGCCTCGAGATGAAGCTGATCACGTCGGAGATGGACGCGGAGACGGAGAAGTGGCAGGAGAGCGGCAGCGCCCTGGAGGAGAACAACGACATCGTGAAACGCGCGAAGAACATGTCCTCCATGGCGTTCTCCATGTACCAGTTCACGAGGGGCGAGGGCGCCCTGAACACCACCCAAGACCTGTTCACCCAAGCTGAGTATTTCGCTGAGGAGGCGAACAGATTGTACAAGGTTGTGAGACAATTCAGCTACCAGGTACGTGCTATCCATCAGGAGGGCGTAGCGCCGAAAAAAAAGAAAGCAAAACTGATACACATTTTTTAATTGGACTGATGTTCGGATGTTGTGTATACACGCGTGTATGTACAGAGAACCCGCTGTACGTACACCTGTACACGTACATCGTCCTCTTATTTCTCTGATCATTCTTTTTTACCATTGTTTATTATTATACGGATTCTATACTGGACTTGATTCCGAGTTTTTTGATCCTTGCTATATTGAAGATACGTTTTCCTTCAATTTCGCTATTGAGTTTCGTTTTTACGTAATTGCGATGCCGGGGCCACGTCGAATCTATAAGATGACTGCGTTAAATGGTTTATTCGGAGTCACCAGAGCTGTCTTGCAGTTGAAAAGGGAACACTCGGATCTAATGAATTATCGTTGCTGGTAAATGCTGAATAAATTTTCTATTACGCGGAATGACATTTGAGTTTGATCTTGAATCGATGCTACTGTTCGAGTAATATGGACGCGTGCGATAGCGATTTCGTAAATGGATTCGAAGTGGCTCGAGCGTGAGTTATTAGCATTAGACATGTTCGAATTAACACGTTTGCTGCCCTTTCGACCCTCCTAGCTAGGCCGAATATATATAGTTACCTGAAACCATTTTGATCTCTTTATACTCTTCTTGAAAGAAATCAACAAAAACGCTAACCTTGTAATATATTCTGTATTATGAAACCCTTTTTTGACCCTCGCTCTTTGAATGCCTCCATCCAGGTAACTCTTTCTCTCTTTACTTTAGACCCTTGTTGGGCTCATAGAAATCATGTTCGCCTTGTATAGATCGTTCTCATTGCCGTGTATATACATACGTACATGTATATATGTAAAATATATTTACGCTATATTGCACGATGTATATTACATGATGTACATCACACTTTTCTGTGTTGTATATTATATTATATAATTAAATTACTACAAATACATCGTACATTTTACTATAAGAAATATATATATTCTATGCAAAATTGTAGAAAATTGTTTTTAAAGAAATGTTTATTCACTTTTAATTATATTTTATAATATAAAGTATTGTATATCATGTAACGTATATATTGTGCACTGTATATAATATATAATATATTTATATATATACAATCATTCGCTCGTTCATTCTGCGAATACATTGTTCCAGTTGCTGTTAAATGTTGTCGTATCTCTCTTTCTTTCTCTCTTACATAATTTCACTTTACTGCTCCACAACTATACGCAAGTACTGTGCTATGCAAGATCGTGACACCTAGTACGATTCACCCGACAATCGTTTCTTACTTTGAATGACGTAGCGTAACCACACATGTTCTTTTCCGTTTCACGTTTTATCCGATGAGGACAGCACGTTGGTAAAGAGCGGCTAATTTCATTAGAAACCACGACTGCGACATCATTCTCGTTAGACAGTCGATTAATTAACAATAGGCGTTGACGAGCTGCCTTTTATCGTTGTACGAACGCCGATCAACCCATCGTGGCCAGTACCGTATTTAAATCGAAGTATCGAATTAGACGAACTAGAGACATTCGCCCCAAAAGTACGATTCTTACGTTCGAAGTTTCAGGTAATCGGAATTTTGATATGGCAAAGATTGTTTTTGAATTTTTCATTTTTGTTTACACTGTTTATACCGAAACGACGATTTCTTTCGTTTGTTAATCCTGATTACGTTTACGAATGAGAATGTGAGAATATTCTTTTTGAACATGTAGTTTTGCAGGACCGTGGCTCCCGTTTTAAAGATTAGCGGAATTATCATTGAACATTTTTACTCTGTTCACGGCATCGAAACGACTACAATCATATTATTTTGTTGGTAAATCTATTTTGTGTACGTACATTTATGACTTTTTTGTGTACGATTAGTAAGGTGTGTTTTAGATGCTACGGGAATGCTTCCGTCTGTGGACGACGTCTATGTGCATTGTGGTCCCCCTCCTTCCACTATCTGGGGCATGACTATTATGTCTCAGTTTTTGCCAGCTTCCGATTCTATTTGTCATTAAAGTTCACGTATACCAGCTAAGATGAAATTGTTGCGGTATCTCTCGTAAATATACTGTAAACATCTCACGTAACATCTGATTGTTTCGTCGATCTGTATTATTCTCTAAAATGGAAATCAATTTGTATATATTAGATTACCTATCGAATGTGCAGTGAATTTTAGGAAGTGTTACAAAATTATTAAACAACTGGAACTAGCTATCAGAAGTTTAAAAATTCATAATAATATTTTATTTCATTGTCAATATTTTATTCTCTGTGGCACACATTGTATTACATAATTTTTAAACTATATTAAATATAACTGGAATATTTTCTATTTATATCTTGTATATAAGTTTTCACAATATTTAGTGAAACTATTGTTCCAGTAGATTATTAATAATTAATAAATAATATTTCATGTGTCGAAATATATTAATAAACTAATTTACGGAATTGTATAACTAAGATGAAAATACTTTCCATATTAATTGAAAATTACTTTATGCAAATGGAACACTTTACATACAAATTACTTAAATTACATTATCAAATTTCATCTTGGCTGCAGTCACATGTAATTTGCAATTTAATCTTTTCGTTTTACTGTATAACATTCGTGAAGCTTGCAAAAAACAACAAGGTCTGTACTATTTCACTGTCATTCACACAGTCACTGTCTAATGTTCTTCTCAAGCAACTTACACTGTTCTGTTCAATCTTTCGCATTGTGTTACTTTTAGGACGAATAGAGTATCTTTCTGTTAACTTATTAGATGCAATCTTACGAGTATCCAAGATACGTATTTCAAAGTATTTATTACTAGTCAACGAATAAAGAATAGAATCAGGCATTGCTTCAAAGAGTTTTTAAAAGACGCTACATATGTATAAAAAACAATATCGCAAGGCAAATGTGATGAATGATTTTCAACGATTATTTCAAACGGAGAAAGTTGTGGGCATCGAATGTTAAAATAACTTCACAATCGTTCCCAGTCTTTAAAAAACCGATTAGAAATCGTTTGATTTTAATGGTACAAATAAAATTTTATATGTACAGTATCGACCACGCACAGTCTATTGAATTCAGTTATACAATGGCGAGGTACTTTTTCCTTTTATTTAACTTTTGAAAAAATGTAGAGATATACATACATTTCCCGTGGAGAATTTAATATACTCTATCAATTATTCTTAGGTTATCTCTTTTCCTAACAGATGTATTAAATTCACTTATGTTTATTCTTAAAATAATAGCATCTCTTCATGGAAAATTAGTCTCTTACATGATTAACTTCCTACAGCATTAAAACTTATATAACTATCGAGAGCACAGTAATAAAAAATTACACTTCACGAAAAATATTGATACGAATGATTATCTTTCAGTAAACTTTATTTTTAAAATCTTTATTGCATACGTCTTTACTATACGCCCCTAAGTTATTACGTATAAATCGGTACTGCACGCCAATAAAATTTTCTTCTCTTATTCCTCATGAAAATTAAAGTTTAAAGAACTTAGCTGCTTACGAAGCTACAAAAAATTCTTTTAATTTATACAATCGAATGGAATGTAATAATTGAAATCGGAATGGAAGGAATTGAACAAACGCATTTGTCATATCGTTGTTAAAGGACATACGAGTACGTTTGCCTTGCGACAGTGGCGAAGACGTAAATTTTTATATGACGTTGCATGGGCGCAGGTACCCCCTGGCCCGCACAAGAAAGACCTTCTGGAAAACCTCGATCGTGTGCCGACGTACGTCCAGCAGCTCCAGTTCACCGTGAAAAACCCCACCGTCGGGAAAGCCGCCACCTTCACCAAAGTCGATAACGTAATACAAGAGACGAAAAATCTGATGAACGTGATTTCGAAAGTGGTCACAACATGTTTCGTCTGCGCCACAAAGGTAAGACACATACGTAGCCACGTCGATCCACGCAGTAAATCATTTCTCTGTGTCGCACTCACGAGAAAGTCAAGTAGAAATGGCACAGTACCATTTTCTTTACCTTTTACTTTGATATTTTTGTTCGTTATTTTTGAAATTTATCGTTTTTGTCTGCTCGAAAACGGGAAAATGTCCGGTCTTTGCTTCGACGCTGCACGGTACGCTGTATCTTTTTTACAGGAAAGAATTATTATTCCGTTTAATTAGTATTATGAATAATGATTTAAATGGTAACATTGAATTGAAGATAGTCCGTGCCACGAACGAGCAAAGATCGGAGGATATTTTATTTTTATCGTAGCTAGCTTAGTGTCGGCAGATGATATGTATATCTTGATTTTTGATAAGCGTATAGCTGCGCGTAAATTCGTCGAAACTGTGATGTATTCTGTGCGAATATTTGTCTTCTTATGGTACGAATTCGTAATTCATAGATATTTGTGTAAATGTACACTGTTAATTGATGAAATACATGCCTGAATGAAAATGAGGAATAATCGCGAGAGGATTATGCGAGACATGTTCGCAATAATTATTTCATTGAACAATCGCAGTTGACATTAACAGTCCAATTCATGCACAACGCATTAAATTACAATTAGAAGATAAACACACATAAATCTTTCTAACCCATTACCTTACAGCAAGAAAAAAGCTGGAAGCTAATAATTCCTTCATCATTCATAATTCGCTAACCACGTTACACGTACACGAGTCAAACCGTTATTCGACATATTTCAATATCGCTCACGCGAATCGCGCACGCGACGCAGCCAACCATTAATCTCGAAAGAAGATTAGATCCTATTTATTTCCTGCGAAACGAAAACGATAATCGCGACACACCGAAACGTCCATTCGTCCCCATCGATTTAACAATTACCAATTTAGCCGGCAGTCGCAGATAAGCCTCTTAAAAACACAGACTACATTAGAATCTAGCCATTTACAACCCGACACGCATCGTCGCGTGCCGCCGAGTAAACGTCAAATCTCTATCGAATCGGAAGGTTCGCACAGAATAAACACATCGCGTAGAGTCGCAACGCCGTCATGTCACGCCTAAAGTGTCTACATGTCCTTCCATGTATTCATCGAATAGCACAATGTCACCATGCCGCAGTACGTGGAGCTCAGTCCGACGACGGTGCCCGGCCTAAGCGAAGAGGACTGCTTGTACCCAGTTAGCCCTCAAATGCTACCTTCGACGAGCCCCTACGTCCAGCCCCATCCTCTGACGTCCAGCCAGTTACACAATATCCTGAGAATCCCCGGCCTGAACATCCCGACCTTCAACTACGGCACGTTGCCGGCTGTCACGGGTTCCAGCACCGGTTCACGGAACACCGCGTCCTTCGTTCATCCCTCCGTCCTCCCCTACTCGAGTAGCACAACCGGCTGCGGGCCGCAGGCACCGAATTGCCTTCAGAATCTACAGCTACTGCAGATGCAACTGCACCACGCACAGCTGCAGCATCTAAGGCACGCCACTCTGCCGAGATAACACAGACTTTCGTTGCACCGTGTGAGGGTCGCATGTGTTCACGTGCGCGGCCACGACGCTACGAGCGCACGTTCATCCGCTGTTCTTTCGTTTTGCACAGGTTCGACTTTGGTTCCCATTTTCTCGTTTTTATTGCGTTACGTTTTCCGTTTCTCGTTGCGTTGTCTCGTTTTGCGGACTTATCTTGGCTTCCGTCGTCGCTTTCTTTGTTTCGTCGGAGTCTCTGTTCCTTTTTGTTCCTTCTCTTCCGAACGGCCCGGCGAATGCGAATGATTGGATCGCGATCGATCGATACCGCGGGGAATTGTGGTGCCTCGGAGATTCGTTGTTAATATCGCGGAGAGATGGGATTCTAATTGAATCGGCGAAATTGCGATTGCGGTCTGGATGTAACTCGATAAGATTCCGAGGGGACCGGGTCCGCTTGTCACGTCGTTGCGTGTCAAATGTTTTCTGCGGTGTAATTTAATGTACTTTTTCATTCAGAATCACTCCTTGTGTTGTACCACCAGTTCGAGGACACTGTGTCATTAGGGTGAGTTGTCTTCACATGGAATTTCTTCATGCATACATTTTACCTATTTACAATGCTTACGTATTATTGTTTCGTTGGAAGTTTTTCGCCATTTTGATTAGTGACAATCTGATTTGTAATTTGATGACGGTTTCGAGAATATTCATTACTTTTACTGAGGTGTTCTCGTATTCAGTTCATCGTGATCCTGATTTTACTTACTGTTTTCGAAGATGAAAAGTATAATGACAGTATAAATTCAATAATTATCTTCATTTTTAAAAAATTTATATTTTTTTACATAGAGTTAAGTAAGAAATATAATAGCTATCAGTGGAAACTAATTGATATTTGTTACTGTTAAATTAGTTTTTTATGTATTGTTTTATTTTATTTTATTTCACCTTTATTGGTCGATATTACTGCAATGTTGCTCAAATTTCTTATTTATGTCTGAAAAATATTATGTCAGAAGATACTGGCTTTCTTCTCAGGAAATTATTTATAGTAGCTTTAATCGAATTATGCATTTACTTTGCTGAATATAATAATAATTTAAATACTTCTATGCAGAAATTCGGATTATAGGTTTTTCTTTGACATTACTTGGCAAATAGGTGCTTTTTAAAAGCCGTGCACCTGCATATGCTCACTAGTTGAAAAACACTAGTCGTAACAGATTGTATTTACTATCATTAAATATTGTTGATTTTAATGTTATTAAAATGTTGCCTGAGAGGTAACTTCTGAGTGATAAAGGTTAATACCGATATACTTTGCAGTAGGACAACTCACTCTAACTTATTTTCAAAGACAAACTAGTTTTTCAATTAATATAAACAGAAAATCATACAAAAAACAATTTTGTCAACACCAGTTAAGTAAGCTTTATGGCTTTTGTGACATCATTTAAAAAATTGGTGGTGAAATTGATAGAATTAATAAGCATATAATATACATACAGTTATTTACTTTATATTTGAAACAAAGTACACATATATGTACATTTTCCATGAAATTTTCCAATATTTCCTTCGTTCTTCCATTATTCTTAACTTCACATTTTTAGGAAAACGTTCTTTAAAATAAAAAAATTTTACCCATCTATGGTTCATCGAGTCAGTAGAAAATTCGAATTTATTCTATTAAAAAATTAATTCTTTTACTGAAACATCTAAAGCTTTATCAGCTCAAAGTTCAGAAATTGTCATTCAATTTTTTTATATATTGTGACGTGTTCTCAATCAGGTCCGAGGATAGATTCAACGGAAGGGGAGTGATTAATTGTTCGGATTACTTACTGTCTCACGCAGAAAAAGTTTACCTTTAATTAATCATCGAATCGCCTATGTTCGTCGCGGATATCGATCGACCGTTATCAGGCGTTAGCTTTCGTCGAATGATTTTTCCTGGTTTTTTCGTCGGCAGCTATTTTCATCGCGCATTTTACGCGTAGGCGTTTCTGTCGCAGTATCTGTGAACTGGCTTGTATCTTTTCTTATTGAACATTTTTGCAGACATTTTTTTGTCGCAACAGCTTCGCTTCGATTAACAAGCTTCACTGTGACAGCGTACAACATAATCCGCAGCAAGGTGAAACTGATAACAAATCTAGTTTACTCTTTTCAGCCGTCTTTTTACAGGAACGGGCGCAATGCAATGTTTTATAACATAATTCATCGTTTGTTTTTTGGTTTTTCTATTGGTGTCACGTTCTGACATGCCGATTACCATCGAAAATAATGCTTATGTGTTGATACGATAATCATATACTACTGTCTGAAGTACTAATTTTTAGAATAAAATACTTCACACTTTTTTTGATGGTATTTAATCTTTATATTATAATACTTGTACTTTTTCTGCCGAAGCGTTAACAGTCAACAGTCAACAGTATTTGCAACTAACACGAATCTTTAGCTCAAAATTGCAACCTTTAGACGGAAATATTTTGGAATTAAATTATATCAGGAAAGAGAAATAATTTTTAAATCTATTTTTCAACGAAACAATCTTTATAGATTTGTAGATTGACGAACGCACGAGCTATTGAATTTTATAATCCATTGTGTTTCATTTATAAATAATTCCCAAAGAAAAAGAATATAGGACAGATAAGTATAACTTACAGTATGCATTAAACTGAAATTCGATGAAAATTTAAACGTTCAAGTAGTTCTTAATATAATAACAGTACAAGATAAAATTACATTATCGTGATACCCAATGAAGAATACATAATCTGTTCAATAAGTCCAAAATATTTCATACAAACTTCAAACAATAGAGAAAGTGTAATCAATATAAAAGATTTTTTCTACTCAAAATCTATTTTCCAAATTAACAACCGTCGTTCTGTATTTTATCTTCTTGTGTCAGTGCTGTCCACGAGTGCATTATTTCTCTCGTTTCTATTCAACTTTTTACATCATATTTGGATAACATCGGACCTCGACTATGTTTGAGACTTGAAGAATTGATTTTCAGGGAAATGAAACAGGAAAATTCGTTTTCACATTTAAGCAGTGAAAATAATCCTCAAAGTTGGAATCACGCGGATACTTTGTTTTATGAAACATCTTTCTTGTACACGCAATGAAGTGACGCAAAAAATCTTCATAGCTACCAAAAGTGTTTAGCAGAATAACACAGGTTAATTAAACCAATATTAATTTTCATACTGCTTTTATTCGACCTACATTGATTAGCAAAATATTTCACAGAACAAGCTTAAGATTTCGTGAGATCTCTGTAAATCCTACAGCTGAACTTTCTATAAACATTGATTACCAAAATATTTCATAAAACAAGCTTAGGACCTCTATAAACCCTATATCTAAACTCTCACCCCACAGACCTTTACAAACCATGTTCCACGTCCTACTTTACTTCAAAATTTCGCAACATACCCTCGAGTTGGTCTCAACCATCCTGAAATAGGATTTTCATTCCCTTTAAGCATCAATTCTTCAATTTTCGCTAAAAAGAGATCAACGACGACGAAGCTATAGGGTATCTCAAATTAGGAACTCGCACTGGACAGCACTGTCTCAAAAGACAGCATAAAGTCGATACCGTGTATACGCATTCTTTAATACGTGTCGGCCTCTGTTTTTTCAGTACAACCTGGATTTCCGAGGTCTGTCGGCGCGTGGGGCCGGCGGCTCGCCGTACAGGGGCGGAGAGGGTGCGGGCGCCGACGGCGACGGTGGCGGTGCTGGTGTCGACGGCAGCAAGACGGGCTCCGCCCCCGGCAGCGACCCGTCCGTCTGACAGTTTGGGATGGCCCGACGGGCCAAGGGGGACGCTCGCCGCACTCGGGTTTCCTTTCTGCTTTTCTAGGAAGAACCTCGCCTGCCCCAGCGAAGCGTACACGTCGAGCCCTCGCGGACACCACCGAAAAGGTCCGCCGGTGCTCGCTGAACTCGCCCTTTTTCGAAGGGATTTCACGCCTCTTTCGCGCCTCCGAAATTCTCGTTCGGCTGGTTCTTAATTTCGTACAGTAGACGTTTCGAAACGATGAATTCAGCATCAACTGGTCGATGGTTTTTCTTTTTGGTTATTGTTGCTTGAACTACGACTTCGAAGTTTGTTGCTTTTGGGGAGAAGGGTGGTTTATGTTTTGATAAATCGTTTAGCTTGTATAGATGTTTTGGTGAGATTATTTATGCTGGAGGTGTCTAATTGTCTTACTTAATTAAGCTCTACCACTTTCATTCCAAGAGCTGTTCGAGTCTCATTCTCTGTTAAGTGATCCTTTCATAGTAGTATTCGATATGAACTAGTATTGTATGAAACTCGAGTCCTCGAAGCTTTGAAGCTCAACCTTAATGGCTGTCTTCGATGCTTCAGGACTCAATCTTAAAGTCTGAATGTCCGATGCTTCAGGACTCAACTTTAAAGTTAGAAGACTTCTGGGAGCCTTGGGAGTCTAAAGACTCGACTGTTGTCAGCTTTTGCAGCTCAAGGCTTAAGCCCTGAGAACTCTCTTTAAAACTTGAGTCGCGGCTAGAGCTTTCAAAGTTCAAGACTCAGTAGGAGACTTTTACATAAATGTATTCGTAGTGGTGACTAGCCTGCTATAGTGATGTTCAGCAACTGAATAACAAAAGGGAAATCAGTATGGAAAGGATCTTTCTCGTCGAATAGCTGATGAGCGAGTCAGTTAGACACCTCTGATTTATATTTTATAAGAGAATCGTACCTTAGGCCTTACTGAATGATGGTAGATAAATCTGTCGAGCAAAATCTGTTGAAGTAGTCAGCCATATATGGCAGAGAAGCAAAGTATGTTTTTGGCAGCTAGCTAGAATCTAGTGTTAATTTTTTACGAGTGAATGTTATAAAATATACTATATCAGGTTTCGCATTTATTACAGGATAATTTGTTCAATTTAACAAGTCACCAGCGTAATACATATTGTTTTTAACTTTTATTATGGATGCAGTATATAGTAACATATACAATAGTAACAAGACCAATATCTTAATTTATTATTTAGTGACAAATAGTGTTTGTTGCAACATATTATATCTTATAACTGACAGTATCATTAAATCAAGAAATGACTATTATTTTAATAATCATTTATTCTGTTCTAAGAAGAAGAACTAACAATAACTTCTTTCGATCAGAGAATCTCGCGAGTCTACTCAGTCAGCCATTTTGTAACTAGACGTGCACTCTGAGTTCGCCATCACTGCTCGGCAGATTTATGAATGTCTTATTTATTTAGTCAAAAATGTTTTATTTATTATAGCAGTATACGTTAATTAGAAGAGGAAAGATTTCTACATTAATTTGTTATTTAAGTATATTACACGATGTGATATTTAAACGATTATGTGACGCGTCTACACTATACTTTATGAGTCTTTTGCTTTTTTCGTGACTTTCTCTTTTGTGTGAAACGTGCTGTCTAGTCAATCAACCGCGTGTCTACCTCTATTATTTAAAGTTACTCTTAGAGTATTCTTAACTTTCTTGATGAAAAGTTATCAGTGAGTTAGCGTTCTTAAATGTACAATTAACTTTCTCGATTAATAATTGTTTCGTGAATGTGTTAAATTTAATTGTTGTTTTGATGACGTTTAACTAATTTATTATTGGAACAAAAGATTCGCTGCTGCGATTAGAATATTTTCTCAAGATGTACGTGTTACATCACCTAGCAAATGTATTTTTTAAGTTCTCCCTGCCTTTTTATATTTTCTTTTATATACATTTTATTTACACTATGCTCGTTCATTTATGTTACGTATTTTATAAGTTTTTACAGAGTTCGTAGAAATAGTTAGAAAATCTCATTGATGCTGAATTGCAAGGAGTCTACTGTACTATTATATAATTAAACGTAAGCGAACAATATGACCTAACGTGCTACTGAGAATTCTGATTTCTCTCAAATTAAAATGAAGTACACAAAACTCTATCGATATTCGGTTAAAGTTTCTATCTAAGTAAAGACAGACGATTTCCGTACAAGCAATTGCAAACACCACGACTCCGTTCAAACAACTGAGGTCTCTTCGAAAAACGGACTCTCTTGTTACAACAGAAACTAATTTGCTCCGTAAAAGATCGTTGAAAGAGCACAAATTCGTAAACTTTGTTAAGTATCCAACGTCCTCGGGAACGGTCACGTTCCCAAGGATGGACGAGAATGAAGGTTTAATGTTTTCGTTGTTCGTACCGGTGCTACAAGACCAATCGCTTGGTCCCGTGATCAGGAAATGAATGATCTACGAGACGAACCGACCACAGAATTGCTTGAACATATTATCCGAAGTACGCAACTGATTGATCGTCAAAAGATGTTCTCGCCTTCTCTTCGAAACGGCCATTAGATAATCGACGTGTACGTTTCAAATTGTAACAGCTCCGAGCACAAGCTATACTTCAGCGATTAGTACACGTTTCTGCGTTGCTCAATATAGAAATGCCGCGGGCTTTCCGCTCGAATTACACACACGCGTTTAAGGGATGCGACGCCGAAGTCGCTTCGCCGCTACGAAACGCGACGCGAACGAACAAAACGGACGAGGAACGTAAGCACGCTTCTTTCCACGCGTACACGCACGCGTTTCGAGAAACATCGTTTGTTCGAAGAAACGTTATAATTTCCTTCTTCTGCACCGTTCTTCGAGAAGCAAACTGTAAAACGGATCCCTTCAGCCTGTCTGTTATTGTCACTCTCAGACTCTCGAGACTTAATTTACTTGTTTCTTCAACTTCAGCGCGTACGTTTAGACTGTAATCGTCTCGAACACCACACGACGAGATCAACGACTAAAGCGAGTGGACCAGTCCAAGTCGCTCGAACGATTTCACGAATGCAATTCGACGCACGGATTCCATCGCGACGGCACGGTGCCCCACAGAATTCTAACGGCGATCCGGAATCGTGTTAATCGTGCGCACGATGGAATCCGAGAACTCCGATGGCAATAATACAGCCATATCAATGAGAATCAATGGCGATTAGAAGGAGAACAGCTTCGGGCAATTGACGTCCGAGGGAGAATCGCTTTACGCTGCTTTCACTTCGAAGCCGTTTAGCCGGAGCAATAATCAGCGCAACTAGTTGTTTCGTCGATTGTGTAAGCCGCTCCGATGTAATATATTTTGCTGCTAACTTCAAGGGTCAAGCTGCTGTCAGCGATTTCCCGAGTCGAGGCATCGTTCGACCCGAACCGACAAACGGGTTACAGTGGGGCTTGAGTGACTGCGAAAGAGGGATCGATCCGCGGCGCGTTTCGTCGTCGGCGGCGGTACAGTCTTCATCAAAATATGACGGGGTCGTAACCGAACACATTGAAACCGAAGCTTTCTAGAATCGGTATCAATTGACATTCCACGACCTCGAATCGTATCAAAGGTGCCAATCGCAGTTCCGAGTCCCGAGAACGTATTTCCGTCGAATCGACGCCCTGTCGCTTGAAACGCGTTTAGTCTAATCGACACCGATTTTACGACCTAGCCGTATCTTGGCGGGGACAGTACCTCGGGAACAGTCGCGATTTCATTCGACGAGGCGACTGCTCTTCGACGAGAACTCCGCATAGGGGTATCGTTCTTCCATGTAGGAAAGTTGGTGCAACGACAATAATTTGGACTGTCGATCGGAGTGCCTTTTAGAGGTGAAATATTAGAGGCCAACTTCCACTTAACGCGTCTCACCAACTTCAATCTTTAGGGAATTCCCCGCCAGTGCGGAGCGAAGCGTCGATATTCGGGTCTCGAAGAGTCCTCGGAGCGTCGCCGGCGGAAACGCGCCGCGGAATGTAGCGTGCTTGGCTAAAGTGTCCGCTTTGAGTGTCCATCGAGTCGGTATTTTGCTGACCAGCACCTCGGCAAGGCGTACACTGGAATGAGCGAGTCGTTTTGCTTATGTGTACGTCGGTAACATGTGGAACCTGGTGTTTCGTTTTCGTAGCGAATCCTCTTTTACAGTGGTACGTCACAAATGCGAAACAAATTGTTTTTAAGGGCTATTAAAGGCTGTTGACCAGTCGCCGAGTAACCGACAAACGAACGATAGAACTTACTGACCAAAATTCACTTTGCTTCTATTCATGCCAGGAAGTTGCCTGATCCGTGTTCGTATTCAATCTAGTACAATGCATTTGCCTCTAGCATTCTCATGATCATCGATGGCCTCGACCATGTCCGTAAGATCTGGTATCGAACCTAGTTAGCAACTTGGTATACAATGATCAACAGTGCGTAATAACCCTAAGACAGTTAAATTGATGACTCTTGCTGCCTACACTAGCTGAAGAAACATCAGATCCCACGTTGACCAGCAAAGCGAAAGGGTAGGTGTTCACGAGACTGTTCGTTTCACGGCCAGGCATTCGCTTTCTGCACTCGAGCACCATAGTCCGGGAAGAGCGCTGCAATCGTTGCGATTTAATTGAATCACCGAGCACAGCTTTTAATCAAATGGGGCAGGAGATGGACGTTGAAGGTGACCTGGGGGCGGCAGCAGGGCGGTCAGGGACGTACTTTGTGGCAAAGACATCAGCATGTCTCACTAACCGAAATCTCGTGGTTCGAGCGCAGTTATAAATTGAAAGGGGATCGGTTCCTCGACTCGACGCCTATCTCTACCAGCACACTTTTCACTCTTGAACGAAGATCTGTCGAGTCACCAAGCGTCGAGTCGGGCGACCGTTGCGCCCCGTAAACTTCCTTTCGAGTGCCACAAACGAATCACGATTCTAATTGTGTAATACGTCTTTGAAACCGCTGAAAACGAAACAAACTATCTTCCAAAGCCGAATCGACACCCGTCGGTTTCGAGACTCGAGGCTGACGAGCGGCCGCGCGGGAGCGACGCTCGCGTCACTTTTCTATTTTAGCCAGTACCCGACGCGTCGGCGCGCGTAGCGTAAGTCGCATAATGTCGCGCGTTTAATAATACTATAAGTGTCGTGCGAAACAAACGATGAACAAACCGGCTCCCAGCGCGGACCGTTTCGTCCACAGCCTCCGAGGAATCACAGACATCTCGCGCGACGGAACCTTCTTACCTAATTTAAGGAGCGACTACCACGTGATCTCTGGGCGACGCCCGGCGAGCCGCGCCGCAGAAAATGGCGGGGCCCGCCGCGATGGCGCCCGACGCCACGCTTTCAAACGAATTAACCGTTCCGCCGTGGAGAACACGATTTCTTGTTTATTCTAAAGCTGACGCGTTCGGTCCGGTTACAAGCGACTCGAACGCGCACCGGCGTTTGTACATATGAGGTTAAGTTCACGCGAATATAACGTCGACCAGTCATGCATTTCTCGTACTTAACAAGTATATAGAAGATCGATTCTGTATGTATAATACAGAGTTGGCACAAAGAATGTGATTATACTGATCAATGACGATTTCGTTTGGAGGCGATCGGATCGGTAATCGTCGACGACGATGAGTCAAGCGTAAATCGTCGTCGCCGAAGCGTCGCGAAGGTCGAAACAGATGGAACCCTTCGTCGTCGATCGTCGCTGGCGATTGTCTTTGATCGATGATGAATCTTTGAAGTCGACAAAGTTGACAGAATGTTTCTAGATCACCGAGGCGCCGAAACGTAAACTAGGGCCTCTTATCGGGGGACGTTGAGCGACGTCCTCGTGATGTTCCTAGAGTTTAATTACGCGGATCCGCGTCCCGTGAAGCGTACGCGTAACCTCGCAGGAATGGAAAATAAACCCGGCACTTCGTTATAAGTTGTAACACGTACGCGACACGTTTGTACAAACTCTGTATCATACCTTATTAACGCGGTCTTTAGTATATATAGAGGTTCGTCAGTTAAGGGGTTAAGCTTAAGTTTTTCCTTTTGTATAAAACTGCACAAAATATTTTCTAAGGGAGAAGGGACTGAGTTCGACGTAACGCGTTGTATACCTTTTACGTTTCATTCGATCGCGTCAGTAGTGAGCCAGCTAGATATCGGCTAGAGACGATCTGCGGGGATCTATGGCCGGCTCGACGGGGAATCATCGATCGTGTCATCGACTATCGGTGTGCATTTCTGGCGAATATACTCCTGGATGAAATATTTAACGACAAGCTTTTAAGTTTGGTGAATTCGAGTTTTTTCGGAATTGGATAAGTTCAATTATTTGTTGAGTATTTAATGTTATTTTAACGAAGAGATATTGTCCATTTTAAAAAACGATCTTTCATTAATTAATTTCTTTTAAATAAATTGTTACTTCTCACTATTATTTCGAGAACTTTTGTCGTATTAGTGTTTCTCTTTTGGATAATTAATCGCGTTAATTACAGTTTAATGTATATTGAAATTCTTCTGTCAACCATCATTTTATAGTGTAACAAGGACATTCCAAAATAGCAATTTTAATTCTCTAATTTACAATTATTCAACCGCATCGAAATTTATTTTAATTTTCGAGTTCCATAACAAATGGGTACCCGAAGAATACAACCGATTAACGATGATGCAATCGGTGATTCTGAGTCAGGCGATAAATCTCCCCAAAAGATCAACTTCGTTGTTTCCTACCGAGCGGATTTCTCATCGCATATAGC